GGTCCAACCTGTACTCATGGAGAAACTACTTTTATTTCGACGACTAGGGGCTTTTTTCCATGGCATTGATGTGTAGCTGTACACGTCTCTGTATCGCACTCTGTAGTGTAAATTTAATGTCGTCACTATAGCACCGTAAAGGTGGTACATACATTATACCTACAATGATTTTATTTCATTCGTGGTTAGCTCAATAAATAAATGCTTTGCTCTTGTCTGTCGGACATCTTTCAGTCGTCGGTTGAGCCCGTCGCGTCGATTGTCTGACACTACACACTATAGACTACAATCTATGAAAAGTCCCTGAAGTGGACGATGGATCTGAACAACAACAAATTGAACAATTACACGCTAATAACCAGAGACTCCAACTCTCCCGTTTTGGGGCCATTTTCCCAAAATCTCCCGGTCTCCCGCTTAAGCTGCATTTTCTCCCGCTTAAGTTTTGTTTTCTCCTGCCCAAATAAAAAACAATGTGTAATAACTATTTAAACAAATAATTTAATCGACTTTCAAAGTTATTTTGGATTTGTGCCATTGCTTTGTACGTTTGTGCTGTATATGAGCAGAGCGCATTTCTATCAACGCGCGTGCTCTGAATTTGAGCGGCGTGCATCGAGCATAACAGCTGCTAGATCGAGAGCTATGTATGTAGGCAAAGAAAAAATAAAAACAAAAACGAAAAACAAGACTGTTTTGTCATGTACGTATGGTGCGCATGCGCCAGCATAGCAGTGCCGATACTCGCACAATCTGAATCTTTGTCGCAGGCGCAAGCTATCTAATGGAGATATGTAGACATGCACGAGCTTCGTAACATTAGACTACATTTACAGTACACGCGCGCCGTGATCGATTTGTTTCGAACATTAACATTTTCGAACATCCGATCGCCTAATCAACATCAGTTAATCATGTCTAAGCAAAGAAGCACCGCTGAAGTGAAGGTGCTGCAGGCAAACATTGACAAGATTCAAGAAGACAAAGTCCAAAACCAAACCTGAATCAAACAAATGTGTAAAAAATAGCTTGTTTCTATACTAAAAAAACCCTTATAAAATACAGGAGCTTCCCTAAGATGGGCCCCTGGACCGCACCCAAAATCACAGGCACTTGGACCGTTTCAATAATAAAATGATGGTTAATAAATACAACTTGTCAGTAGCCTA